CGGTAGTAGTCCTCATAGGACTTCTCCAGACGGAACGGGACATCCCCGTCCAGTGAGCAGCGCACCTGGCCATTCGCCCCCGAGTCCCGGTCCTGCACATGCAGCAGGGCTACCACGGTCCCTGACGGGGCATCCTCAGAGATCTCGCTGAGCGCCGACGACACTGTCAGTTCGGGGGCATTGTCGTTCACATCTGTTACGGTAACTGCAACTTTGGTCGTGTCGGAAAGGTCTCCCCCGTCATATGCCTGCACCTCCAGCTCATAGGAATTCCCCTCCTCGAAGTCCAGGCTGCGCAATAGCGTGATCGCTCCTATGTCTGCATCCAACTGGAAAATCTCCGAGGCTCTCTCCGTGATTTTCTTAAACGAGTATTTCACGCGACCATTCGGCCCCTCGTCGGCATCACTGGCAGTAACGGTGACGAGGACAGAGCCCACGGGCACGTCCTCGGGCACTCGCACCGTGTACTCCACCTGGCTGAACACGGGCGCGTTGTCATTCGCGCCCAGCCCCGTCACGCGGACCCGAGCCGTGCCCGTCCGTGCCGGATCACCGCCGTCCATCGCCCTCAGCACCAGCTCGTGAAACGCCGCCTCCTCCCGGTCCAGCGCCTTGGCCAGCACCAGCTCGGGACGCTGATCGCCGCCGGGGCCCGCCTGCACGGCCAGCGAGAAGTGCTCGTCGCCGCTCAGATCGTAGCTCTGCAGGGAATTCCGGCCCGAGTCAGGGTCGTGAGCCTCGGGTAAGGAAAACCGCGACCCCGGGGCTGTCATCTCGCTTACTCTCAAATTTTTTTCTGCTTCTCGAAAGTTCGGAGCGTTGTCATTAATGTCCATGATTTCCACTTGGATCCCGTAAACCTGCATCTGTCCCTCCACTATCAGCTCACAGCGCAGCACGCATTGCTGAACACGTTCGCACAGCTGCTCTCTGTCGATCCTCTCTGCTGTCACTAAATGTCCCGACTTCCCGTGCAGAGCGAAATACTGTGTCCTACCTTTGTCCAAGATGCGAACGCCGCGGTCGCTGATCTCCGTCAGCTGCAGTCCCAGGTCCTTGGCCACGTCGCCCACGAACGAGCCCTTGGGCATCTCCTCGGGCACCGAGTAGCGCAGCTGCCCCCACGCCGCCTGCCACGCCGCCATCGCTTCCACAGCCAGGCTGAACGTGCGCGTGTCCTCATAATCCAGCTGCTCTTGCAGCGTGATCGTCCCTCTCTGGGCGTCCACCACGAACTTCTGGAGCACCTTGGCCGGCATCTCTCCGAAGCCGTAGGTGATGTCGGCGTTGGTGCCGACGTCGGCGTCTGAGGCAGACACGTTCAGCACCGTCGATCC